CTGTCTATGTGTGTTTGTCTGGAAGCTGAACCAAGCAACGTGACAGTTCTACACCGCTGTGCGGAAACTCTGCTGAGCCGTGACGGAGAGGCGCTGCGGAAGTGTGCCGGGCAGCCATATATCGCTAATCGAGGTTCGTAAATCAATTAGCGGGAGTCACGGCTAACTACCGTATGTCACAGGTTATGGATCCATAAATCATCGCTTGTAAAACTGTCACGGAAGATACTGCCGGGAGCTTTGAAGTCTGCGGTGTCGAGCAGGGGGCCGGCAGGAAGCGGAAGGACTTTTTGCCTGATGTTTGCCTGCGTCTAAGAGGCAAAGAAGCTGCTGAGAGAGCTGCTGGAACACAGAGCTAAAAGCAAGAAGCAGCTGGGAGCTGGAAAGTAGCTGAAAAATCGTTTCTCCACGGATGGGAGTGCCAGAGAAGCTTGTGAGTAAAGCTTGGGGCCCCTTGGGAGAACGGGAGAAGATGGCAGACTGCCAGAATATACCAGTGGAAAAGCTCACTCTAAAGAGTTGGGCAACGTGGTCCAGGAGAATAAGGGGATGGTTCTTGGTTGAAGGGCTCTGGGAAGCAAACCAGTGGGAGCCAAAAGAAACACCCCTTAGCTGGCCAGCAGCTGGAGCAGGTGAAGCAAGCTGTGGGGCTGTGTTGGCTGAAGATAGCCAGAGGCTGCAACAAGAGCTGAATATGCTCAAAGCATGCGTTGATGCGTCACTGGGGCCTCAGTTGGAGGGCGTAACGACAGCGTGGGCTGCCTGGAATTTGCTGAAAGGCTTGTGTGAGGCGTCAGCGAAAGGCCAGAGCCCTGGAGGAAGCCCTGGAGAGGCAGAAGGATGCCCAGAAAGCCCAATGGGGGCTGGGACAGTGTTGGGAAGCTGTTGTAATGCTTCTACACGTCTGTGTGATGGACTGAGTCCTGGAAAGGCTGGACTGGCAGGCCCTGTTCCCGATGTATTGGCCTCTAGGAGCGCTAGTGAGCAGATCGGGGGGGCGAAGAGTTCCAAAGGCAAGTTTAAAGGACTTTCCCTTTGTTCTGAAGCGAAGAGCAGCTTCAGGGGGGGCGAGGCTGGTGGGAGGCGCCGTTCCAGAAGGAGGAGGGCCAAGCCAGCTGGGAGCCCCAGGCAGTGTTTTTCCACTAGAGTTCAACATCTGCGTGGCAGTTGCCCCCACCGGTGCAGAGAGCCGAGGCAGGATGTTGTGAAGGACATTTCCCATGGGAATCAGGCGGGTTTCCATGGCAACAGGCCTGGGAAGACAGGCAGGCGTGGAACTGAGCCAGGTGGCCGTAGTAAACAACGGGAAGAGTCTTATCAAGTCTCGGCGAGTATGGCAGTGTTTTGAAGACGGCCGAGTGGAAAATTCCGAGATGGCCTTTGTAATAGACTCTGCAGCTAACCGCAACATGGTTCCAGAGACCCCTGCAGTCGAGAGGTGGAATTGCACGGCAGTTCCGAAGGGACAGACTATTAAGTTTGCAAATGGACAGAAAACTAGAGTTTCCTCGTGTACTAATGCCTATCTTTCTGTTTTACAGGAGACGGTGAATTTATGTATTGTTCCAGAGATTCAACATTGTTTGTTATCTGTGCCTTATTTGTTAAGTAAGGGGTTCAAAATTTGTTTTGAAAACGATGTCTGCACGATCTCCAAAGGGGGGAGGTTACTGGCCAAAGTGCGGAAGGGACAGAATGATCTTTTCATTCTTAAAACGTCTCTTGGAGGTGAGGGGAAGGTTGAGAAAGCACAAGCGTTGCGTGCTACAGTTCCCAACCAGCGTGCTACAATTCCCGCTCATAATGTTACATGTGCATGCGTATGGCATCAGAGAACGATTCACAATCCTTTAGAGGATTTGCAGGTGTTACCTGAGGTTGTTACAGGTTGTAAGATTAAAAATTGTCAAAGTGCCATTAATTGTGACACTTGCAAGCTAGCAAAGGTAAAAGGATGCAGTTACCCAAAGGTGGAACGTGTAGCCACAAAACCTTTTGAGCTGGTTCACATAGATTTGTCCGGTCCTGTCAAGGCACCAAGTCTAGGGGGGGCCAGGTTTCTGCTCGTTTTTCTGGATGATTTCTCACAGAATTCCTGGGCTCACGGTCTTAAATCCAGGGAGGATGCAGCACGGCTGATCAAGAGCTGGATTGAAGGGGTGGAACAGAGGTTCTCCACCAGGGTTCAAGCTATCATCAGTGACAGAAATGCTAAGTACACTGGTTCTGCTTTGCAGGAGTTCTTTCACAAGAAAGGGATACGACACACAGTTATTTCACCCCAGCAAGGTGGGGTGGCAGAGCTGCGAAGTGGAGCTCTAGTTCAGGCTGCACAGGTGTTGCTGAAAGATTCTGAGTTACCTCCAAGGTTTTGGCTGGAGGCAATCAAGTATGTGAGCTTCACCTGGAATCGTGTCTATAACTCATTGATAGGTGACACACCGTTTTCTTTGTTAAATGGCCGAAAACCCCAGGTTCACTTTCTGCGGACGTTTGGGACCCCTGCGCTTGTCTCTGTGCCTGAGGCTTTGCGAGGGCCAGATGGAGCCAAAGTCCAGAAAATGATCTTCTGTGGGTATGAGCCAGAAGCCCGTGCATGGAGGTTCGCATTTCCATCAGGTGATCAGAGTAAGTTACTGATCAGTAAACACGCTGAGTTCTTTGAGCAGAGTGAGAAGACAAAGATTGTTTTCCAGCGTGATCTTCTCTCAGATTGTCTCTCTGACCCAGAGGACAGTTGTGATGAGGAGGAAGGAGAGGCTGAGCCTGCTGATGAGGACCAGGTCCAGGATCAGGGTTCAGAATCCGATGATGATGATCAGTTCACTGACCAACGTCAGGAGCAAAGTCAGGAACAGGAGGAGGTATCTGTAGTTTCTCCACAAGATGTTAAGAGAGCACCCAAAAGCGAGCCTAGTTCTCCTGTGAGTGTGATGGAAAGGATTCGAAAACGCTTTAAGTCAGAAGGGGAATCCCGTGATGCAGAGGTCACACCTGCTGGTGACGGTGAGCCAGAGGAAACATCTGTGTTTGTGCCTAGGAGGTCCAGTCGCACAACAAAGGGTATTCCGCCAGAGAGGTATCAGGCCACAGGTGCGTGGGTAAATTTCGCACAGTGCGTTTCTGAGAGTTGTGAGGTGGTTCCACAAATGCCAAACAGGTCTGCCAAGGGAGGGCGCAAGGCATTGGGGAAGGAATTGATCTCACAAGGTATTACTGAAGATGTTGCACAGGTTTCACGCAGGGACACAAGGGGGGGTGTTATAGTTCAGAATTTATCTGGTTAAATTCCCTGGTGTGTGTCACCTGCTGACGTCAGCTTACAGCTGGGCGGAGACAGAAGCTTTAGAAGCTGGGCGGGATTATTCCCTGTTTGTTTTCAGTCCCACTCTGTGTTTCGTGGGGAAAAGACGCAGGTCTGGCATGGCTGCAAATAGCCCTGGTAATTCCTGAGAAATGTTGGAATAAAAGCTGTAAATAGACGAACCTGTCTATGTGTGTTTGTCTGGAAGCTGAACCAAGCAACGTGACAGTTCTACACCGCTGTGCGGAAACTCTGCTGAGCCGTGACGGAGAGGCGCTGCGGAAGTGTGCCGGGCAGCCATATATCGCTAATCGAGGTTCGTAAATCAATTAGCGGGAGTCACGGCTAACTACCGTATGTCACAAGGCCCACTGACATCCCTTATCCCCAGAGAGCCATTTTGACAGGTAGGTGAGTCCAGTTTGCCCACCTGTCTGTCACCTGACATCCTCATGGCCTCAGCAGCCACGAAGCCATAATTCTTGATGGCAGGTTACTTTTTCCTAGGGAGGACTGCCCTTGAAGATGGTTCAGAAAATGCAGCTTCTAGTTTACTTTCTGGGATTCCATTTAGAACCAACATAGCCCCTTTTTTAAAACTGTTGCTGTTGTTGCTGCTTTCTTTCTGGGCTGAATGCAAAGTGCTTGCATTACCATTTATATTCTAAAGTAACTTAGGCCTAAATATATGAAACACCACCTACTTCCCTACAGACCCTCTTGGGTGTTTAGATTTGCAGAGGGAACCCTCTTCGTAGCTATACCGCCTTCACAAATTTGGTATGTATGTGTGTGTACCTCTTTACCTTAGCTTCCAACACCTGAAACATATATACTTGAACCCATCCTATTATTTTGATTGTAATCTATTTTTACTGTTTTTAATACTTTATATATAAATTGCTGCAGACTGAGACCTCATAGTGAAGGGTAGGTAAGAGGTCAAATGAAATATGTAGTAGTAATTATATTTAATAATAATTTAAATGATTGACTGTTGAGAAGATTCTTATAGATTGCTGCGTTTCTTTTCTTTTCATCGTGCCCTATTGGCCTGGTAATTCTTGCAATATGACTTAAATAGAGTTGATGAGTACTCTGTTTTGACTTTATGCCTTTGCATAATGTTTTTCCATTAAAGCTGGTAATCATATTTTTATCGGAATCTTCGATGCCTCAAAAGATCTGTGATTTGTAAAGCTTGCTAGGTCTTGTTTAATTGATTCCCCCCTTCAAGTAGTAGCTTGTTTGAGCAACTAAATTTATCCCGTGCGAAAAGCTGATGTGCTGCACAATTTTTACCTTGTGTTTGGCAGAGGTCGTCAATGTAGTGCTCATGGGTGCACATGACGGTGTAAAGGCCTTCCCTGGTGCCCACAGGGTTCCCCTCCCTCAAAATTAGGCCTGAAAGAAGCATTCTATTGTAGCCTATAGGGTGAGTTGTGGAATGTGATTGGCTGCCAATGTGTATGTGTGTGTTACTCAGAACCGTTTATCTGGTTTTCAGATGTGTTTAAAAAGGTAAAGGGACCCCTGACCATTAGGTCCAGTCACAGATGACTCTGGGGTTGCGGCGCTAATCTCACTTTACTGGCCAAGGGAGCTGGCGTACAACTTCCAGGTCATGTGGCCAGCATGACTAAGCCACTTCTGGTGAACCAGAGCAGTGTACAGAAATGCCGTTTATGTGTTTATGGGCTGCCAAAACTTGGTAACCTTTCTTTATGGGAGTAATTTGGATTATATGAGCTAATTTGTTTTGTATTCTTTAATATGGATAGCACTGTTTTCAGTGTGTTGAGGGTTGGTGCAGAGGCTTCAGAACCTTTATCTCTCTATTTCTCCAAACAGAGGGTGTTCGCTAAGTTTTTATGTCTGTTTATAGAAGGTTTTTTTTATATACCACATTCTCACAAAACATCAGCAACATTAAAAACCCATTAAAAGCTATACAAAACAATCAATAAAATGACTGGAAAACGTTGAACAACTGCATCCATTGACATAAAAAAACACATCTTCAAGGTATGCCTGAGGGTCAAAAATGAGGAGGCCTGCTGAATCTCTGCTGGAAGAGTTTTCTGCAACACATTCTTTTTAGCATGGGCAAAGTAAAAGGCTCCTTGCAGGACAGTTCACAGAAAGAGAGTTGTGTGTGTTCCTTCAAGTGAGATGATACATGTTGTGCTGTGTGGCTCATTCCTTTGTGTCTATTAATCCTATAAATTAGCAAGAAGAAACAGTTAACCAAGAGGACAAGGTTTGTTTCTTTTCTGCTTTCCCCCCTTTCGCTCTGATGATCTGAAGCTGCTTCAGCAAGTTACTTAATTTTATTCAGAGCATTACCAGATTGTGTTTAAATGAATTGGGGGACGGGGACGGGGACAGACAGCTAGTTTACACCAATTTCTCTAATTCTGATGCACCCCACCCCATAAAACGAAGAAGAAAGCTACAGCACTGGAAATACATTGTGAACCAGTTTTCATTCAGTGAACTCTCTTTGGTTTGTCCAGCATTATGCAACAGGCAAATGCTAATGAAAATTCAAAAGGCTATTGTTTGTACATCAAGACTTTCTGCCAAGGAAGAGGAAATGTTGGGGGAAGGGATGGGGAGGTACTTTATGAAATCTTTTTCAAAACAGCAACTGCTTTATTGCATTTTTCCTCTTTTTTAAAGATATAATACATGATGAGAAGTTAACAAAAGATTGCACATGAAAATAAAAATTAAAAATAAGGAACATACATATGTAATTTGCATCCATCCATTCTTGGTGGTTTCTGTCATATACTATAAGGACTTCCATTTCTTGTCACTTTCTTTCAGTGATTTCCATTAAGACTTTGTAAGTCAGCCAAGTAGATGCATGGGTTGATCATGGATTCCAGTCATATTCTCTCTGTGCTATATGTGAGATCAAACAAATAAAAACCATAAAAAATGCTAGGTTTTGCTTTATTCTCCTTTGTCAGGTCACTTTCTCCAACAAGGCCACTGTCCACACCTGTCAATGCTACTCCTCCATTAAATTGCTGTTGGATACTTTTTTATTATAATTATTTATTAAATTTATATACCACCCTTTGTATTTTAAGAAATCTAACCAAGTCCGTAGGAAGGACCTCATGATGAAATGAACTGTAGCATACTGTGGTGCTCTCTAAATGTTGCAGTGTGTCATGCCTTTGCAGATTGTGAGGCCAGGGGCATGGATTGTCTTGGAGCTGATTTTTGTAAGCTGCTCTGAGAGCCTTTTTTGTGTAAATGGTAGAATATAAATGCTGTAAATTAATAATAATAAATAACTCACATCATTCTTGACCATTGGTCAGGTTGATTGGAGCTATAGTTGAACTGCCCTTGCTTTAAAGTATTGGTTTGTGCAACCTAGCACTTGTGTAAACCCATTACAATGGGCCAGCTGTTTTTAAGCATAACATGCTGATTTGGACTGGCCCTTGTCCTTTTTTTGTCTGTCCTAACTCCTTCTCTCCTTCAGTGTGCTTGATATTTTATTTACACGTCTAAGCACCAAGTGCACGTATATTCTACTGTGGCACAAGCCTGTCTATAATGAGTGGCAGTGGCTCTCCCAAGGTTTCAAGACAGAGCTCTCTCCCAGCCCTATCTGAAGATGCTAGGGATTGAAGCCAGTATCTTCCGGATACAAAATATGCAGAAGATGTTGGCTTCAATCCCTGGCATCTCCAGGTAGGTCTGGAAGAGACCCCTGTCTTGAAACCTTGGGGAGCCAATGCAACCAACTATAGACAACCATGAGTTAGATGGACCAATGGTTTGACTTGATAGAAGGCTGCTTCCTGTGTTCCTGTGTTCATATCACCACCTGTAGCTTCTCAAGTTCAGGAATTTCTTAACTGAATACCAGGTGGTTAGTTGAGCATGTTTTACGTTTGCAAGAATATGTTTTTCTCGTTGAAGTACACAAAATTGTTTAATGTTTTCCACCGTGTATAGAAATTTGGTGTGTGTGTTTAAAAGCAAGTGTACTTATTTCAGCAATTACTAGCCCACTACTAAAAAAATCTATCATTCCTGGAAGCTATTGGAAATGAGATGGTCTTTAAGAGTTTCGTGCACAGCTTGTTCTTGCAGTGATTTATGTCAGAAGGAAAACCAATATTACTGTGTTACAGTCTCAAAAAGTTAATAAATGTAGTTAAGTCTCTGTATGGAAAAAAAGAGATAAGCCTTAACAGGTAAATGTAGAAGCACAGTGAAAGCCTGGTTCCTGTTTTTGAAAAGTAACAGCATCTGAAGAAAGTATGACATCTAAACCAGTTATCTCTGCAAACATTTACTGGAGCCCTATATCCAGGTACATGGACACAGTTTCCATTGAAATGAGTAGGATATAAGCAAAGGCAATTAGAGTGAAAATGCAGTGTATATTTATGAGCTGAACTCTGTCATTTAAACCAGCACTACGTATGACAGGTGGCATGGGGATGCCAGTGAAAATGCCATTCTATTAACTGATGGAGGTACATGCCGTGCATTGTGATGACATCATGTTGTGTGTGTGTTTGCTCCACATCATTGGATAGAACTTCACAATATGATGACATATCTCACGTCTGATAGGGTTGAAGAGGAAAACTGCAAGCACCTGCCTGACAAGCTTCTCTGATAACCTGAAAACTATCATATGAATCTGATCTAACATCCATTGACATTAATGAACTAAAATGCATACTTATTGCACCCTTTGTATCCAAAGCTCGAAATGTGTGGCCCCATACAGAATGTTAAGGGTGATTCTCTTTTTGCATGTTATATATATTGGCTGTGAATCTTGGGGGACCTGCTCCCTGATCTGCAGTCCTTTTCCACCTGGCCCAGGAGGGCGGGGCCCTGACTTATTCCAGCTGCAGAAGCTGAGGCATCTGAACAGACTTTTGGGTTGGGGTATTGCACAGCGGCTTTTGTTGCTGTTGTTATTGCCCCAGTTGTCTAGTTTTAAATTGTTTTTAACTTGTGTGTTTTTAAATTCAGGGTTTCGGTTGATTTTGAATGGAAAGACATGGGATATGCCTGGTATACTTCAGAGCTTAGGGAAAGGAAACAAGCTGGGAGACGGCTCAAACTTGAATAAAGGAAAACCCTGGTCATATGCAATCAATCATTGGTGAGGGTTCGGTATTGAGCCTACCTAGTGGCAGTGAAGGCAGCAAAGAAGGAAGTGGCAAAACCGATGATAGCTCACTGTGCCTTGTTTGCATAGCATTTTGAGGATAAAATTGCTCGCATCCAGTACAGCAGCTGAATCTCAAGGGGTGACTAGAGCACTGTCTAGTCCTGTTGTGTTGGATGAGCTTCATTTAGTTGGGTTTGAGGATGTATTTTGTGTTTTTATTTTGTATCTTTATGTTGTGAACCACCCTGTGCTCTTTGGATGAAGGGGAGTAAATAAAAATGGAAGATACATAAACAGAATGCAGGCTGATATCCCTCTTCAATTGAAAATATGTATCCATGTAAAATTTATCACATGCCCTCTTTTAGGAAATATTTTTTGAGCAACCATTTCTTTCTAAAGGAGTTGATTCAATATTTGCATGTGCGCCCTGCGAATCAGGTGGCACCAATTCTAGCAATTGCCTATATGTGCTGTAAAGGACGAACTTTGATCTTATAATCACTAACTCCCTTGAAAGCTGCTCACCTGACAGTTGGGTAAATTGCTCTGTCAACATCACATGCCTGTATATAAATACAAAGTATAAAGTGAAAAATAGCCTTCAGACTACAACATTTACAGTAAACAACTGTATTTTTATTAGCGCTTGTGAAAAGGGGTCTTGTTGGGTTATGCAAACTGTTTTCGTCGGCCAAAAAGGAATGGCCCATCCAGTTTAGCAATCCTGCCTCCACTAATGGATACTAATGGATAGATACTAGAACATACAGAGCGGATGATAAAACCATATTCCATATATGCTCACTTCTCTCTCTCTCTCTCTCTCTCTCTCTCTCTCTCTCTCTCTCTCTCACACACACACACACACACACTTAAAAAAAGAGAGGCTAGGATGCCCAGAATGCAAGAAATAAGTCCAGGTTGATTTGTATTCCCTAAGAATACTGAGGGTTCTTTTTTGTACCTGAAAATACTACTGTAATAGAATCATAGAATTATATGTAGACAATGTTGTTATGCTGGAGTGTACAGCAGCCTATTAGGCTCTGTGGTTTATAATTATATATAGACTTTCCATGTCGTAGTTTGCAAGCCTCTGAAAATTAATTGCACTTAATGTTAGTTCTGCTAAATTTGGATCACTGTCACACCTGCATTATTTTTTTAAACGGAGATATTCACACCTACATTTTTCGAAAAGGAGATTCCCCCCCAACTCATGGTTGCCTAACTCGTGGAAGATAATTCCATGATAATTAATTTCAAGATCATTAATCCAGGACATTGAGGAATGGTGTATCCAATGTTGCAATGTTGATAGATATCTTGGCCTTTTTACAGAATGTCATGCAGAAGATATGACAGAATATCTCGTGCAGTTTTTGTCATTGCCCTTATTAAAAGCAGGCTGAGTGTGACTGGGAACTACGGGAACAGCATACACCATAGTTAGTGGAGTCTGTTGAATCATTGTATTTTTTCTGAGAGTTTTCTTAGTTGCAAAACCTCCATTTTCCTGTCTTCTACCTAGATTTTGATTCCTCCTTTACCTGTGTTGTAGGTCAGTCTACAGTCAGCTAAGCAGTTGTACTTTCCAACTTAGCTGGCTTAGGCTGTTGAAGTTAGTGGGACTAAGCAAGCATAAATGATTTTTGTTTGCAGCCTCCTAAGAGAATACAGTCCAGGTGTTCCTTTTTTTCCTATGGCACATGTGTGCATGCAGTATGTAGTTCAAGAAAGGAAGTCAAGGAAGAGGATAGTCACGTGAGAAAACCTTTTTCACTTTGCCATGACTTTCCAGTACTGTATAGGGCAGAAAGGAAGGGTCTGCTGCTGTGGCAGCTGTTTTTGTATTTAATTCTGTGCCTACCTTAATATTATTTGTAATAATGTGGCTGAATAATGAATAACCATTATGGTGATTTATATTTAAATATATTACAACATGTTAATAACTTTGAAAAGAAATACCTTATTAAGGTTTCTGAAATGAATATAAATGTAAGGTGGGTTTTATGTCTAAAGCTGCATCTTCTATTAATATTTCAGTATACATATTTCTTAATGTGGCCATGTATAACATAACTAGGTTTCAAAGTTTGCATCAGATTTGCAGGAGCCACTCTTAATTGCCTCTTTGGCTTTCTGGGAACTTTCTCCCTTGAATTATTTTCTCCCTTGGAACACCTTACATCAACTACTGTACTGCAAAAATGGCGAGAATAGATGCTAGTATTTGTTTTGTACTCTTACTTGTACATGTCATGTTCTCATCTGTTTTCCCAGAAAGTGTATTCTGAAAGACATCTGCTCCTCTTATACAAGTGTCCTTTTCCTGGGCCAAGGATGTTACAATGACTCAAAGCAATTATATATGCCCACATTGTTTGCAATTGATATGAAGAGACTGACCCTTTACAGAAATAGAGAACAAGAGCTGCTGCTTGTTTCATGCGATTTCCTCCCGCTCCCCTGGCAGCGATGACTAAATCCTTCATAGTACAATGGATAACCATTTCTTAGATTAGGGGAAGTTGGAAAAGGGTTTCCCATGTTGTTAGACTAATAGTGGATGAATTGTGAAATATAAGTTTTTCTAGGTATCTCTGGAAGGTGTCATGATTTGAAACCTACACTTGTCATCAAAAAACAACATTGCAAGGTTCCAAATGGAGTTACCTAATGTGTTTTGTGCTCTCAAAATGCTTTACAAAATGGTAAGAACTACTTCAGATATTGTCTGTATTAGGCTTTTCCTTTCAGTGGCACTGCCACTGAGCAGTTATGGCACGGATTCTCTCCCACATTGAAAGTTTCCACATTAGCAAATGGATCTGCTAATATAATGTGGAGAATCTGTGCTACATGTTTCCAATATATATATATATATATTTTGCAGTTTCTTGGTTGGGACTGAAACATGCAGCTTGGCCCTCAGTCACACAACAAGGAAGCTGACCTGTAGAAGCTTTAGACCAGAGATGGCGAACTTGTTACACCAGAGCTGGCCCACCCATGAGGCAGACAGAAACAGCCACCTTGGGTGGAGGAATGCTATGGGGCGGTGTCCCCACGGCCACCCTGCCACCACCGGGGGTTGTGCACTGGCAACTTCCAGCAAGGTCTCATGGAACTCCTATGAGATCTCTCAAGATCTTGCCAGAAGCCATCACCCAGTAATCAAGGCTTTGGGGGCATGTGGCACCTGCCTGTTTCAGGTTGTGAAACACGGCAGGCCACCCCTGTGTGACACTCCCAGGTGTTGTTAGGAATTGTAGTCTATCATACCTGACTATTGGCCCTGTTCACTGGGGCTGATGAGAGTCGGAGTCCACAACATCTGAGTGGTTCACACCTTTCCCATCCCTGCTTGAGACAATCTGTTCCATATTACAGAAACCTCAAGCCTTCCTTCACAGTTACTTTATAAACAGGCACTAAATCATACAATATCCTTTGTAGGTCTGTGGGCATATTGCCACTTCTTTGTCATGCACTGTGAAACATATTTATCTCAGCTTCTTTTTGTGCCCTTTTCAAATTTGCATTTCATGGCATTTCTGAAAATGGGAAATGTTTACCTTTTAGAGCAGAGCGGTCCAACCTCTCAGACCAAGTGGACTGCAAGAGTACTTTGAAACAGAACCCGTGGGTTACACACTGAATTAAATTTCCATCTTGTAAATTAAAGTGTTTGCAATATAGTTAATATTATTTAATGTATACAGTATATTTAATTAAATACTCAGTTAATGAGTAAAGTATAAATTTCTTCAAAAGATAAATCACAAAATAATTGAGAAAAAGAAACACCACAGATCTATAAGGATTTATACAGTAATTCAAGATGTCAGTAACCTTTTTCATTGCCAACACTCATTTGTGATAAAAGAAGGCCTCTGATCAGTGTATTTGAAGCAATCACCTCACTTCAGTGTATTTGAAGCAATCACCGCACATTTGTAAAACATTTGCTGACCAACACTTTTTAGCCCACTTGTCCATTCTTGCTGACTAGCCTTCCCTCTCACATCTGGGTTTTATTTTTTTATTTTTAACCTCTTGGCGCCTCCTGCCTCAGCATCTCCCATTTTTACATGCCTGTGCATCTTTCAAACACTTTTCTCTACCTCAGCCTCCCCCCTCACACCTTTGCCAGACTCCATTTCCCCTCAGTCCCCTCCTGTTTTTAGCCCATTCCCTCCTGTTTTTAGCCCATTCCTCCCCTTGGCTTTTTACCTCAGCACCCACACTTCACTTGTTTTTGCCTCCATGTCTCTTGGCTCACTCAATTCCATTTTATTATTATTTATTATTATTATTTATTATTATTCATATTTCATGCTCTCTTTCTCCTCCACTTTTTACCTCACCCACCTTCTCTCGCCTCTCACTTCTGTCTCCCCTCACTTCTCTCTCTCTCCCCTGCCCCTTGCATGGCAGGCTGCACTAGTGGTGTAAGGCAGTTCTCTCCCACCCTCCTCTCTCTCAGAAGCAAAGAAGGAGAGGGGAGCTCACTGTTACTCAGGAGGCCTGGTCTGGGCCTAGCCTATGGTGTGCTGGGCACTGTCACATGGGACTGGAGCCCCTGATCACAGCCTGCTGAGGAGCTTGCAAGAGCCAGACCAAGCTGGGACAAGGGCATGTGGGTATGGGGGGGTGTGGAGGCAGATAAGAACATGGTTGCTAAGGGCCACCCAAAAAGGCCTTGAGGGCTGCATGCGACCCACGGGCTGCATGATGGACTACCCTGTTTTAGAGTGATGTTTCTGGTACACCACCAGCCTGCATTCACAACTTCTGAGATTTTGTAGTATCCCATTCTCCTTGGTTATTTTAAATAATTTAGTACATACAGAATTCTTGTTAAGCAACACTACTCAATGATGTGTGCCGGCCAAACTAATATATGTTTTTGTAGTACAGCAAAGTTGCTTTCAGTTACCTTTCATTATATGACTGAGAAATTTGTGAGGCTTGACAAGCTGTTTCCAATGTGGCTTTTCTTCCTTTTCAATCAACAAAAGCAGGTGCCAGTATACTTTATAATTAAATTATACAGCTAAAGAAGAGAATCAAAACACTTTGGCTGAATAATAAAAAAATTGCAGACATTTTTGTCCAGCATTTGTAAACAGAATGTACAAAGAATGTAGGTCTTCAGACTGCAATCAAGCTTTAGCCAGGAGGAAAATTACATCTAATATCAGTATATGAAGGTAAAACAACACAAAATTCCATCCTTTACTAAATGGAATAGACATGTTGGCCTGGTTGACAACAAACGCTAAGCTCACCACTCAGCAGAAAAAAATATAGCCTCTTTGATGCTCTGACAGTCCTGCTTTTACCCATAGCTGAAGCATAGTTTGAATCTGGGCTCATGTTTTGTCTCACTCCAGACAAACCACAAGCTATAGGCACGGTTTGTCATTTGCTTACCACTTGGGTTTTGCTTGAGGAAGATGATGTTGACGATAATTATAAGCCCAAATTCAAACATTAACAGCCAGCTGAACCATGGTAGCATGGCAGTAGGGAGACCAGGGGAGGAGTGAAATGGGTGCAATTTATTTCTTTTGAATACCAGCTCCTTTGCACAGTTCAGCTTTACCTATGAACTGGGCCATTGTTGACATTGCATGAATTTGGCTTTTACTCAGTGCTATTTTTCTAGAAAAAGCAGTGTCGGAACTCACCACAAATGCCTCCCTTATTCTCTTATAATGGCAATGGCACCCACCTGAGAGGTGCCGCAACTGAGTTCTTGCTGGGGGAAAAAAAGCTTTCGCTGATTTATGAGTTTGATAAAATTTTGGAGGTGCTAGACAACTGGAATATTTTACAATGGGTTGCCTAGTGATGTGAGGTGAGAATTCTCTGGAGAATATTCTCCACAAACTGTAAATTCTGTGTCGTCTACATAGCTGCTTTAAATCTACACACCTCATTAATCGAGAATATTCTTGAGAATATTCTCCAGAGAATTTAACATCACTAGGGTTGCCAGCCTTTTTAGCCAGTCTCAAAATGGTTGCTGCAGGAGCCATGGCATAACACAACATCAGAAAAAAGTTGTGATACCACCACAAAAAGATGCCTCCTGGTTGCTAGGGGAAAAGGAAAGGCAAGCTATGGAGATCCCACAGACTACTAGAAAATAAGATAGAAGCAGGAAAAGTGCACCAAAGGGGAAGGGAAAAGGGCAGCTCTTTAGGACCCCAGGGATTCCTATTGCCTGCTGTCCAAGCGCCTCTTTTAGCAATCGCTGCATAACTTTATAGGAGGGCTGGAGACTGGCTTTTTTAAAAAATGGAAGCTCAAAGTCTGGAGCCCCTGCCAGGGGCAGCAGTGAAAACTGGGTTCATTGGCAGCCTCCATTTTACAATGTGCTTAGTACATACAAAATGTGAGGGTGGTTTTTCCTGGTAGATCAAAAGCTGTTAATGTAATTCAGGGCACAGTGTAGTTCACCATAATCTTTTGGCAATCCCAGTTAAGATAGCTCTTTGGAACTTCGTTACTCAGACATAAGGAGTTAAGAGATCAGAGCTTGGTCTTAGTAGCCAAAGTCCATGTGTAACTTGACAGGGTGCTCCCAGTCTAGATGACATATTGTGTGACCATGGGGAAGAAAGACTGGGAGCAAGGTATATTTTTAAAAAATATCGCTTGATCCCATGTGACTGTAGCACTTCCAAGTTGCAGATAGGGGCATTGCATAACTCACCACACTGCAACATTAAAAAACGGCTGTGCATGTAGAAACCTAACATGTATCCCCTCCTGATATTCTAGATTGCTGTGTGCAGGGAACTGTGTTTTGCAGAGGAGTGCTGGGGCCGGGGGGGGGGGAGGCGGGTGAGAGAGAGAGAACCTAGAGCTATTTTGCAGAAAAGTCTGGCTCTGAGAAGCTTCATCAGTACCTTCATAATAAACATAAGTATATGCTATCCAAATCTGCTATAGGTGTCTGGAAGCTGTTGTCTAATAAATTGCACATTCAAACGTGGAAAGTGTGTTAAAGTCATATGTTCACTGCATATTTGTTGGTGGAGAATTGTCTTTCCTTGTTCCTCTTGGGAGCTGCAGCGCCAGAACCATTGTTGCATCTGTGTCTGGAATAGATTTCTTATGGTCAAAGTAGCTTTTACCAGCATTCCCCACTGTTCATTTTCTCCTCTCTGTCATACAATGCTAGTCTGTCCCTTCCTTATATAAATTCCTTCTTGTTAGCAGACTGTGTGTAACAAATCTCCTCCTATGTGCACCTCACAAAATGACCCTGTTGTTCTTTCTCTGATTACCTGACGCTGCAAGTCTCTGCTATCTGCCTCTCTTTCTATACCTACCTTATTTGCTTGGAGTGTCTGTTGGAACTGACCTCTTCTTTACCTCTCTGACCTACAATTTTATACTACCTCCCCAATCACTAAAACAACTTTCAGTTTAAAAAAAATGGACCTGAGTCATTTCTTCATTCACTGGAAGTTTCAGTTTGCAGAGACCAGTAGGTACATAGCCGAATAACGCTTTCATTTTGAGTTATAGTCTCGCTCACTGTGATATGTTTTGTTGGTGAGATCAAAGGAAATTGTCTGTCTCACCCCTGACCTGGGTGAGTCAGAGACATGCATTAAATCAACATCATGTACTAGAAGAACCATGTCCGGGCACAGTAAATAATACTGTTATCAGCCCACAGATCTGACTCCTTATCCTAGAACATTTCCCAGTGCATTTTCCCGTATAGGTATGACATCAATCTTCACTGCAAACCAGCAGATGCTCTGTGCTGTTGTTATTGCTCCAGTGTAAAATCACCATCTAGAATTTACCAGCAAATTCATTCTGTATAATTTGGACTTAATTGGAATCCTGGGTTCCTTTCTGAATGTAGATCAGTGTAGCCCAGCGAGAAAAAGTATTTTCACCACTAACTGCTTCTCTGAATAGGTCATTCTGTTCTTACACATTTGGATTTTGCATGGAAATGTCACTGATGGCACATTCTACTCTCTGGCCACACCTTGATTGCTGTTTTGCTCAGTATATCTAACAAGTAAACCTCTAGAATGCAAAGGCTTATACCAAAATAATTCTGTTCTCAATATATTTTCCCCCTGAAAAAGATTAATACCATTGAGACTCTGAAATTTGTAGTGGCTTACTAGTTTCCCAAGAAAGATTGCAACCTGACATTTGGTTTGGTTTTGTATATTGGCTCTTTTAAGTGTGTGTTTGTTTGTGTATGTGTGAATGGCTATGAGAATTGGGGAATGATAATGTTATCTAACTGAATCCTCACAAGCTTAACTATGGGTTGAATTTGAGAAGAAAGTATAAAATGCTACGTGGTAAAAATGGAACTGTGTGTAGGAATTCTGAAATAAAATCGAATTCACCCACTTAAATTGGAAAGCATGCAGAGTAGGGCATGTACAATAAAGACACATATTGAGTGATTGAGGATGTCTACTCATCCCTAGTCCTTTTGCGATCAGTGTATGCACCACTTCTGCTTCCACTATCTAGAAAATGGTAGAATAACTCATTTATCTTTTACCAGCAGGGTTATTGAGAAACCTGTATAGATTGCACAGTGCTGTTCCACACTGCTGAGCTTTGCAGGTTTCCAAATAGTACACAAATATTTGGTAGGATTTTTACCCTAGAGAAATGGGCTAGCCTAGACTATTTATAGCCCTTTTAATATATTCGCTATTTGCTTCATTACAGCGTTGCTCAGAACCACAAACAGAATCTAATGACTGTCGCAAACCTGGGGGTTGTTTTTGGACCAACGTTAATGCGGCCGCAAGAAGAAACGGTTGCTGCGATTATGGACATCAAATTCCAAAATATTGTGGTTGAGATTTTAATTGAAAACCATGACAAGGTAATTTGTTTGAATTTGTTTGAATTTTGTTTGAATTTGTACATCTTCCATTTTTTTTTATTGTTTGCAAATGCTTTCTAATCTAATGCATATTTCCCAGCTGTCCTTATCCACAGAGTTACAGGAAGAGACAAGAACTTTAATATTCACATCTCCATGAGCCTTTCCACATATGGAACCGTTTTACTGATTTTGGGGAAGGGGTTCTAGATGAATTAGGGAAAGGTAATAAAATGTTTGGGAATCTTACAGCCTTTCACTGAGGCACTGTCCCACTCCTAACGCTCCTTTAGAGCCTTTAGACCAAGATGTGGAACCTCTGGCGATTCAGATGCTGCTGGACATTCACTCTGCTTTAGCGGGAAAGTGATGCCTTTGGAAATCATCATTATTACAATACTCACGTCTAACTCAAGTTAGATTTGTGTGCCCAGGAGCCAGTACATCCAGAGAAAGGGTGACAGAAGCCTAAGATAAAAAGTGTAATAGCTGCTGATATCGCAAAGGACACTCCTTTACCCCCCAGGACCAGAGTAGAAGTTTACAGCTAAGCAGGGAGGGAGAAAGCGGAAAAGAGGAAGGCAT